GCTTTTATTTATAATTATTTGTTGATTATCATTTCTATTAAAGCTAGTTTTATATTGACTTTAGATTTGATTTTATCTTATTGTTACACACACGCACTTGAGCTTATTGTATTTGCATTCATAATATATTTGGGGTTGTGAGAGTTGTAACATTGAGTGTGAGCTTTCATTGTGTTCTCATCCATAGTCGAGAACAATCAATTATTGTATTGAGCCAAATTGTGAGATACACTTTGTAATACACTTGTATACCAAGAGAAGTGTGTGATGAGAGTCGGGGATCGTCCCAAGAGGAGTGTTGTTGGTTGACGAACCTAGGAAGAGGTTATAACCGAGCACTTGAGGGAGACACGTCTAGTTCAACACTTAGTGGGTGTAGAGTGAGATTACAATAGTGTGTTGTTGTGAAGTTTTCGGTGAACTAGAAAACCGAGTGTGAGGAGTGGACATTGATCGGTGATCGTTGAAAACCGACATAGTGTGGTTGTAAACGTTGTTCGGGTGAATGTAGAAAACCCGGTTGTGATAGTGGATTTCTCCCCGGGAGTAGGGAGCGGAGACGTAGGACGGAAGGTCCGAACTCCGTGATCATTTGTTTGTGTTTGAGTGTGCTTTGGCGTTTATTTATATTTGTGCTCATTGCTCATATCGCCATCGTCACATTATTCATATCATCCTCTATCTTGTTTCATTTTGTTTACCCTTGTGTTAGTTTATATATCCTTGCCTATATATTTCATCATATAGGATATATTTCATTGTTTACATTGCTTATCCTAGCTCATATATCTTGTGGTGTTTCATACTTGCTAGGATAACTTGTTAATTAATTTTAATTGGCATATAATCGGATTAGATTAGCATAAGACCCTAATCACCCCCTCTAGGGTCTAACAGTAACTTTTGTTACAATTAATAAAACTGTAGAAGCTGGAGAAAATAAAAAAATCAAATATGAAAAAAATATATTCAAGATAGTTGGTCGTAAAGAAATGAAAATATCTCTCAATCCGGAAGGCGAAATTTAACATATAATATATAAAAATCGTCTATCTCGACGAGATGAAGCCATCTGTGAGGGTAGAAATTTGATAGGACATTGATGCTAGCATCGATGCAGGCATCGATGCCAGCATCGATGTTGGCATCGATACTGACAAATCAGTTACATATCAATGGCTGATTTTTGATAGTTTTGGATAAGGATTCAATCCAAGGGCTCTTATTTATTGATGTTTACTATAGATAGGGGTAGAGAGTAAGGCCACTCTTAATTAAGAAGGTCTTCCAAATTTGTAACTTTTGTTACAATTAATAAAATAATTTTTTCACCACTTTAAATTTTTCTTCTCTTTGTTGGATGATGAAGATGGAGATGAAGATTAATTTGGAGGTTTGTTTTTCTTATTTTCTCTTTTATTTTTTTTTTATTGCTTATTAGTTTAGATCTATTTTCATGCTTGTAGTTAGATTTTATTTTCTTGTTTAAATAGTCAAGAGGCTAGAACCCTCTTACCTTAGATTTATTTCATACTTATAGATTAGATTTATTTAATGTTTATAGAGTAGATTTATTTTCTTACATTTTATTCTTGCAATTTATTTTGTAGTTTAGATTTTGTAATTTATTTTGTAGTTAGATTTTAATTTCTTGTACTATTCACCTTGAGGTTAGAACCCTCTTGGGTTTAGTTTTTCTTTTTGTTCATTTTTATTTTCTTTGATTCGCCTTTAGGCTAGAACCCTCTAGAAAATCATCATTTTCTAAGAAGTGGATGCAATTCTAGATTACCCATATCTTTAATTAAATCCGTCATCTTTACTTTCTTGAATTTTATTTTTATTCTTGATTTTCCTTTTTGATTCTTGATTTTATTCATCTCTCCTTGTGAAAACCATTCATTCATTGTTACATCCACTCTCACTTACATTTTGTGTCTATTTACACACTATCACCTTCACTATCTCTCCACAATCATATTCACTCATCACTCCTATTTGTCACGCACACAACATAAGAACCAATTTTAATTTTCTCCTACAAAACACCTTCCTCGTGGGATCGATAACTTTTTATACTATAACTTGATTGATTGTGTACTTGCAATTTTTGGGTATATGTTTATGCCGCATCAAATAGTAGTAGCCACAACAGTAGTAATGACATCATCAGCAGTCGAGTCAACAGTAAGGGCTGACCCCTTGGCAAGAGAGGAAGCAGCAACGGGTCACTCCAGAATTGATCCAACACCAAACAACACCAATAAGAAGGATCAGAGGAAGGAGATTGCTAAGAAACCAACCTACCTAAACTAGAGACCTTGACATTCTTTCATGTCAAAGCCCAAGGGACATAAAACACCTCAAGGCAATCAAATTAATGGTACTATCTTCAAACAAGATTTTTTTTCATGTTGTATATCTATGTGTAGTTTTCAGCGATCGATCATCATCAGTTTGGTCGGCTTTGCCTTAAAAGACCTTGGCACCTACTCACGGTAAGACCAAGGTGCGTTATTGATAGAAGTCCTTGGTACCCTCTCAGGGTAAAATCAAGGCACAACTCGACTCAGTTAGCTTTAACTCTAGAGTCTGTGGTACTTTCTCAGGGTAAGACCATGGCCCATCATCGACAAAGGCCCTTGATACTCGGGGTAAAACTAAGGCATGCCTCTACTCAGTCAGCTTTGACTAAAAAGACCTTGGCACCTGCTCAGGGTAAGACTAAAAAAGCGCGTTATCGACAAAAGCCTTTGGTACCTTGGCACCTACTCAAGATAAGACTAAGGCGCCTAATTGACAAAAGTCCTTGGTACCCTCTGAGGGTAAAACTAAGGCACGCCTTGACTCGATCAGCTTTGACTAAAAGCTATTGGCACCTATTCTAGGTAAGGCCAAGGTGCATCATTGATGATAACCCATGGTACCCTCTTGGGGTAAAATTACGGTGCACCACAACTTGATTGGCTTTGACTCAAAAGGCCTTGGCACTTTCTTAGGGTGAGACCAAGGCGTACAATTGACAAAACCCCTTCGTTCCCTCTTAGGGGGGTTATTCATTGGTGTAAATATTGGGATAACGGGATAATTTTTGGAACACCACATTTTGGTGTTATTCATTGGTGTAATTGGAACTGGAGTCAACTTTGTGATGTTATTAGTTTGATGGGATAATTGGAAGACAAATATTCCACTTTTCCCCAAATTACCCCAACTATATAAACATCCCTCACACCCCATCCTCAAAATTACACCAAATGTCTGCTAGAAACAAATTGTAATCTTGCCCTCCCCCCTCGATACCACTCCCTACACCCACCTCCCCCCACTACAATCCGCTCCTCCACGCGACACCTCAATCCTCTCTCCTACACCGCACCCTGCCCCTCGCATCCGCTCCTCCACACCCACCCCACCCCACCACCCTGCACGACGACCTCCGACACGCCACCTCCCCCTGCGACGTATTTTCTCTAGATTCTAAGCCCTAAAATAGTTCTTCATCTGCACTCTTGTGTGTATCGATGGTCTGTTTGGATTCCAGGTTTGGCACCTTGCTAGATATATCGGACCGGTCGATGAACTGACAGCCCGCTTTGCGCACCAGTGCGAGATTCGACCGCCACAGCCCCCGCAAACCGGGCCCCAAAAAATTCAAAAAAATATATATATATATAATTATATATATAATATATATAATATCATATAAATATTAATATATATAATATATATAATATTATATATATATATAATATATAATATTATATACTAATTAATAGATTATATATATATATATATATATATATATATATATATATTCGCCCCAACAAAGAACCCTGTGACTCTCTTGGAACCCTCACCCTCTCTCTCCCAAAACCTCACCCTCTCCACCTAGGACCAGATCCCTCACTTCTCTCGCAATCTCGTCCCTTCTAGTTCTACGCCGACGACTCCCCCGTCAAAGACCCTCCCTTAGTCCCTCCTCCCTCTCTCGACGCCGACGCCGACGCATGTAATAACTCGAACCCTCAGGCTCAGTTACTCGAGAGATCAACGACCATCACAACGCTCATAAAGTACGAACCTTTTTCGTTTAATTCTTGTCTAATTAGTGCATTTATTTCTCTCAGTCTTTCCTTTCCAATGTCCGGTTATTTTGTTTTCATTTCAATCTCAGCCATTTGTTTCCTCGTTCATCGTTTTCCCTAGCTCGACCGCTTTCAGGTGAAACCCTAGATTATATGTTTTTCGTGGTCACCCCCGTGACCCCCCCCCCCCTAATTTGTTGATAAATCTTGAAACTTTGGGATTGAGAATTTTGTTTCTGTACGTTTTGATTCTAGTTGCTTGATTTGGAGATTTTTTTTCTGAAGAGAATTTTAGGAGCATCAATTTTTTTTTAGTCCTTGTAGAATATTATAATTACTGTTAATTAATTACATTATGAAGTTCTGAGAAATAACAGTGTGATGTTTCGATTGGGAATTGAAGCCCCATTCCCTAGATTTGATTGTTAAGGGCCATCTGTTTTCTTGAATCAGTTCATATGGAGCCATAACTTTCTGAAAAATTGTTCAATTCCTTTAGGTTTATTGCAATCTTGTGGTTTCGTATGTTTTTGCCTGATAATTTGCGGGATAGTTATAATTTTTTAATTTCTCTGGTATAAAAAGAACAATTATTCAATAATTTACATTTCTGCTTAACATTCCATTAACTCCCTGAGGCTGTATATTGTTGTACAAGGGTCCTATTGGATTATAGTGTTAGCATTAATTTTGTTGATTTATTCCTTTTAGAATGGAACATCAGATTTTGGATTCATTGAGGGTTTAATACGATTATTGGGTAACATTTTGTTGATTTTAATGTCTGATCAGTAACATTTTGTTCCCTGGCATTTTAGGGATTCAAATTGAAATTTGTTGATATTTTGTATATAGAGAATGACCATGTGTTTACTTTTCGCACAGGGCCCCTAAAATCTCAGAACCGGCCCTGGGAACTGAACGAAGAATTCGGCCAAGATTCTATCCTAAATAGTTTTCATCTGCTGCACTCTTTGTTACTTTATTTATTTCCTTCCTGTTCTATGCTAGAAGGGGGGAAATAGAAAGAAATCATAGATGGGTAAGCTGCTTGCCTGATCAATCAAGCGATACTTGTTTGTTGTGTGAATCCGGAACTTTGCATGTTCTTTTGATGGTATGATACCATCCCAAAGTGAAACCTGTCATATTTGTTATTTACACAAGATAATCAGAATAACATACTGGGCAATATATTTTATATTGTCACTGCATCCAATAAAAAAATTTATTTTAACAGTTCTGGTATGCAGTTCTGTTCCCAGGAAATGGTCAATAAAATTATATCCTGATCATAACTTTAGAAGAATATGCACAACTCTGGGATCATCTCATATCCTGATCATCTCATATCCTGATCATTGTTCTCAACAGATAACTTGGAAAGTATATGCACTTTAGAAGAATCAGAAACATAAATCTCATTCCTCTGTTCTTCCTGGTTAACATGAATCTCTATTACAGGCAGCTTATTTTCCTGGTTAACATGAATCTCTATTACAGGCAGCTTATTTTCCTGGTTAACATAATCAGAAACATAAATGCTTTCCCAGTTCCTTACAAACTTGTGATGTTTGGAGAGCTAATTCTCGTGTAGGAACCAGTATAACTGCAGATCACATACAATGTAAGTGGAGAGAACAAATGGCAAACACAATGTGGAGGGCGGAGCTCAAGGAGGAGCTGGCCACGTTGGCTGGTGGAGATCTGATGGTGGTGGTGCCGGAGGGCTTGGGTGAGCGGAGGGAAGGCGCTGGAGGGGATGGAGCTCGGGTTCGGGCGGTTTGGGGTTGAAGGAGATGGTTCTGGGGGTGCTTGGCGGCGTGTGGTCGGAGGTGGAGGTGGTGTTGGGGGTGTTTGGCGCGGTGAGGGAAGGTGAGCGGAGGAGGGTGTTGGCGCAACGACGGCCACAATTTGAGCTGTTATTTGAATTGTTCCAAAAGGACCTATTTATCTTGTTGTGATAATTATGAACATGAAGGTTAAAACCATTTATCTTGTATTGTTGTGATAATTTGATGTTGAAACTATGTACTTGTGAATTTTCTTGTATTTTATGTGATAATTTGATGTTGAAACTATGTACTTGTGATAATTTGATGTTGAAGTGATTTGTATGACAGTTGGAAAATTTTGTGTGTTATTAAAGATTTTGGGGTTGTATGTTTAAACAATTATTGCAATTAAAAAATTTGTTAATATAGTATAAATATTAAAATAAACTTTAAAATATTCAAAGATTGATTAATATTAATATTATTAATATTAAAATAATCTTAAAAATAATATTATTGTATATTATAACTATTATTTATTTTTTGATGTTATATTAAGTTAAACTTGAACTTAATTGAGCTATAAATATAATATTATAAAAAAATGTCATACCAATTGTCCCACTCAAATTGTCTCATTATCCCATTTTACCCCAATTTATCCCACTCAAATTATCCCATTGGGTAAAATTAATATTGCTGGGCTATGCTGATTAAAGTGACGGGAAGGCCGAAATGGTATCATTATCAATCACATAGTATTATATAAAAGAGTTGTGAAGGATTTTCAGTTCGTTTGCACACAATGAGGACATAAGAATCATGATTTCGTCCTTTGCAATGCAATCCTTTCCCGAGTTTCTGAAGTGTTGATGCTTGAAAAGTAGGGAAATGGAAACATGTTAAGATACTGTTCATGGTGATTGTTAGCAGCAGAGGCAGCTTGATCAAGAGAAGTTGTGGTGGAGCTCGGGTTCGGGCGGTTTGGGGTTGAAGGAGGTGGTTCTGGGGGTGCTTGGCGGCATGTGGTCGGAGGGGGAGGTGGTGTTGGGGGTGTTTGGCGCGGTGAGGGAAGGTGAGCGGAGGAGGGTGGTGGCGCAACGGCGGCGGCCACAATTCGATTTTGAAACCATTTATCTTGTATTGTTGTGATAATTTGATGTTGAAACTATGTACTTGTGAATTTTCTTGTATTGTTGTGATAATTTGACGTTGAAACTATGTACTTGTGATAATTTGATGTTGAAACTATGTACTTGTGATAATTTGATGTTGAAACTATGCTCTGGTGATTTGTATGACAGTTGGAAAATTTTGTGTGTTATTAAAGATTTTGGGGTTGTATGTTTAAACAATTATTGCAATTAAAAAATTTGTTAATATAGTATAAATATTAAAATAAACTTTAAAATATTCAAAGATTGATTAATATTAATATTATTAATATTAAAATAATCTTAAAAATAATATTATTGTATATTATAACTATTATTTATTTTTTGATGTTATATTAAGTTAAACTTGAACTTAATTGAGCTATAAATATAATATTATAAAAAAATGTCATACCAATTGTCCCACTCAAATTGTCTCATTATCCCATTTTACCCTAATTTATCCCACTCAAATTATCCCATTGGGTAAAATTACCACATTGGAACAAATTACCCTAATTTGCCCCAAATTACCCCAATGAATAACCCCCCCTTAGGGTAAACCCAAGGCACCCCTTAATTCACTTGGCTTCGATTTAGAGGACCTTGGTACCATCTCAAGGTAAGACCAAGTCGTGTTATTATCAAAAGCCTTTGGTACCCTCTCGGGGTAAAATTAAGGAACGCCTCGATTCGATAGGTTTTGACTCAAAAGACCTTCTCACCTACTTAGGGTAAAACCAAGGCACTCCATCAACTCTAAGACCTAAGTACCTTCTCGGTATAAACCCAAGGTATATCATCAACTCTGTCAGCACCAACTCAAAAGAACTTGGCATCATTTTCATGAGCAAGACCAAGACACATAATCAACTTGGTCGAGTCGGATACCAAGATGGTGGTACCTATTTAGGGTAAAACTAGGGCTTGCCATCAACAAAAATACTTTGGTACCCTTTTAGAGTAAAACAGAAGCACATCAACTCAATCAACTTTGAGAAAAAAGACCATGACATCTTCCTAAGCCCAAGGCATGTACCCAAGACCTTGGTGTCATCACGGGTAAACCCAAGGCACAAGGTCGAGTAGCGCTACTCCCCAATTATGAATCCAAGTCGCCTCGACTGAAGGACAGACTAGTACTCAAAGGTACGTTGTTCAAATTGAAAAAAAAATAAAAATATTTCTATCTGAATATATCTACAATGTACAAAGTGCTGAATAATCAAACGCCTAGACCTTGGCGCCTTCATAAGCCCTAGGCATGCATCACAAGACTTTGGTGTCATCATGAGTAAACCGAAGGCACGTGGTCAATGCATCCCCGATACAAAGGCATTAAGTTCAATTTCACTTGGAATCAGCTAGCTGAGTCCAAGCGAAAGCGGCAAGTGTTGTGCCATAGAAATAAGTGTTTATCAATATTCAACTGGCTGATACATGTCTCAAGCAGACTGCACCCCAAGCTAACCCAAAAATACCGAGCAAGGTGTCCCTTCTCACCAAGCTGAGACATATGTTCCTTCTTGCCATGCCAAGACAAGAGTCTCTTGTCGCTAGGATAAGACATGCATCCTTTCTCACCTGGCCGACTCATCCCTTCTCGCCAGGCAGGTCCTGGTCAAGAACTTTTTGAGGCTGACTAAACAGGTGGCACTTGTTGGCCTACACATCAGATCAATCCTATGAGCACCCACCACTCAACCCATTATATCAGTGGACAACTTGTGTAGCTGACTAAAAATGTAGTGTTTGTCGGCCTTCAGCCGGACTATTAGAGTGGCAGTGTGTTATTGAATCCCCCCTCCCCACCGATAACTAATTGCCATTACATTAACTGCTCTGACAAAGTCATCACTGCTCTAGCCCCCATAGTCTTTATGACTCATTAGACCCAGTCTGCACCAAGAAGTTGCTGTCACTTTGAACTAACTATTTGAATGACCCATCTTCACCAGCAGCCGACACATGTTAGCAATTTGTTGAGTCAGCTGCCTACCTAGACTCGACTCAAATTACCAATTTGCCCTTCTGATCCTTTGTAAAGGAAGCTATGTAGCCCCAGGTAGCTCCCTGATCTTTTCATACAACTTTGAAACCTTCTTCATCATCTCACATTTTCCCATTCAAGCTTTCATACAACGAGCTCTCTCAGGAAGAGTCTTATTCACTCATTCTGCAACGTAGTTTTGTTGTGTTATGTATTAAAAAGTCTAATGTGTAATTATATCCTCATCCTTATAAAATTCATCAAACTCCGAAGAGTAAGATTCCAATCCATTATCGATTTTTAACCTCTAATTTTTCTCTCAGTCTACTTCTCAATAAATGTCTTCCACTATTTAAAATGCTTGAACACTTTATCCTTGAATTTAGCATGTAAACCCAAATTTTTCTTGAGTAGTCATCAATGAATGTCAACATCTATCTAACATCTCCCTTCGGAGGAAGACACGAAAGATCTCTCAAATTAGAATGGATATAATCCAAAGTGCCTTTGATTCTATGTATAGCTCTACTGAAACTGACATACGTTTCCTTGCCAAGAATACGGTGCTCACAAAAATCATCTTTTCTATGCTCAGATGACAAAAGAGTCTCCTCTTGCTAAGTATATGACCCAATCTAATAACCACAACATGGTAGCATTTTTCTCTAATAATGATGATGTAGTAACTGCAGCAGCACCTGTAACCGTCTTTTGTTGCAAGATGTAAAGATTTTTTGATTTTTTTACCTTCATAATTGTAGGCATCAAAAATTGCGGAACACAGCACAAGACGAAGAGAAAATGAAGAATTTCATCATCCGTGTCAAAGAAGATCATCTGATACCAAAAGAAAGCAAAGGAACACACAAAATGATAAAACGACGAAGCACGCAAAATGACGATACAACAAAGTAAGACACCTGAAGTGTCTCAAAGGGAGAGACACAATAATGTATCTCGCACTCAAAGTGCGAGACACAATAGTGTGTCTCGCACTCAAAGTGCGAGACACAGTAGTGTGTCTCGTACCTAAGTGAGAGACACAATTATGTGTCTCATTTTCACTAGAAAAATGAGTGCAAAGAAACTCACATTCTTCCTGAGTCTTGATAGCTTTATGTTTGTTTTCAATTGCCTCCTCAATTGTTGAAAATTGTTCAAAATGTTTCTTCAACTTATTTGATTTCGTATAGAACTATCCATAGCCTTGGCAACATGTACTTTAAGCAAGAAATTATTATTTTGATGCCAACCTTGATCAGCCCTTCCTGAAAGAGTATTTCAATCACTTCCTTCAAAATTGGCAGCAGACCAGAATGATGTACACCAATCCCATGTTTCAACAAGGGTAGCATATTTGAAACCTGTGATAAGTATAGATAGCACAAATTTTTACATCAGCAAACAAATGAAATCAAAATACTAAAGCAAAGACAAGAAAGGCATGAGTTTTTACCCAGCTACGAACAGGAAATTAATAATAGAAACTATGTAACAGAATAGAGGCCTCAGTTAGGAGAAGATATAGTAAAAAACAATAAACATTGTCAAAAGCTACTATCAAATTTTCATTCAGCCAAGTAGATTGAACCTTCCTTTTTCCCTTCTGAAGCTGCACAATCTCACTTTTATCTTTAAAGCAGAAAATGGAATCCGCTACAGTATAGATTTTATTTCACAATTACAGTTGTAAAAAAAACTAAATTTAGAAATTTTATTATAAGAAAGGATCTCTAATAACTAAAACAAACTCAGTAGAATATGGTTCTCTGACATCTTAACAATATTTGTCCAGTGACCACTAAGCATAATTTAAGCGGTTTCATTAAGTAATATTAGCCCAACTGGTATGATGTATCTCATCATTCTACAAGTCCCCCCCCCCCCCCCCCCCTAAGTAACTCCAAGCAAAATAATGAATTCTTATCAAGGGAAATGGACCAGCAAAAGAAAAGGGTATGTTCACAAGAACAGATCGTAAAGCAATAAGAAATTAATAAAAAATATTTAATTTGGGGGGGGGGGGTGTTTCACATAATCCTAATGAACTTTGTTTATCACACATAAGATTCCCAACCTTTGGGGTGTCTTAAAAGCCCCTAAACTTTTGCCTTTTCTAAATGGACTCCACTACCTATACTTTACAAATAACCAAAATGTTTTTCAGAGAAAAAAAAACCCACATTTT